GAATACTTCATTTCAACAACTTTCCGAGATAAAGCCAGCGATCGAGAAGGTGCTCAAAGACATGCAAGCTTACATGAAAGACATATCACCGTTGGAGAAGCGCTTGAAGTCATATTTTGAAGATGTTTCGCAATACACAAAGGTCAAATCGGATTTCACGCAGAGAGAGACACAAGAGATGCACGAGAAGTCTCTTTCGCTTGTGCAACGTGATCTTTCCGAGGCTGAACTGCAAGAGAGTGAGCTCGTCGAAACGGCGAACAATGTGAAGGCTGAAATTCTTGAAATCACCAAGCAACTAGAAGAGCTGAGGAACAAGAAAGAATCAGCAAGTTCATCCCTTGGTAAAGTCGAAGAAGATTTGGCCAAGATGCAGCAGGTTGTGGCTATGAAAAGAGATAATATTTCTCGTCTTGAGAATACACCATTCTTATCTAACCATGAGATGGAAGCTTTGGAGAAGATGGAAGCACTACTTGAAGAATCTCGGCGGGAGCTAGAAGCTTTTGATTTGTTCGCTTAAGTGCTACCCCCTATTTTTTTTTTTTTTTTTTTTGCTCATGTCATTTTACTATCTTTCGATGTAAAAGAACATTCCATCTTTTTTTTATGCAATATAATTTTCTCTTGCTCCTCATAAGGCCTTATTATCGTCTTGGCATCCTTTTTTCATCATTATGTAGCAAATAATAACTTTGGATGGTTACATCGTGCACACTTTTGGATCTGCTTGATTTTACAAGTTGGTTAACTTAAAAGGAAATTAACCGAACTTGCTTAGAATAAACGCAGTTACAACGAACATTTTTTTTTTTGGTTTGACTGAACTTAGAATATGGGTCTAAGCTGCCTACGTACCCTCCTCAAAGGGATCAAGTCATAACGTAGTTCAAGCGAACAACTTAGAACAATTTTTTTTTTTGTTTTGACTGAACTTAGAATATGGGTCTAAGCTGCCTACGTACCCTCCTCAAAGGGATCAAGTCATAACGTAGTTCAAGCGAACAACTTAGAACAATTTTTTTTTTGTTTTGACTGAACTTAGAATATGGGTCTAAGCTGCCTACGTACCCTCCTCAAAGGGATCAAGTCATAACGTAGTTCAAGCGAACAACTTAGAACATATATTTTTTTTTTGTTTTGACTGAACTTAGAATATGGGTCTAAGCTGCCTACGTACCCTCCTTAAAGGGATCAAGTCATAACGTAGTTCAAGCGAACATGCAACATCAATTCACCATGTTCTCTTCCTCGAAGGTAAATGTTTCTTCAAGGGTAGTAACGCTTCAAGAATTTGCCATTTATGGGGCCAATTCGTAATCCATCATTGTCCACTAACTTGTAAGCGCCGCTTGTGTAAGCTTCCTTCACTACGTAGGGCCCGTCCCATTTCGACGCGAATTTATTCCCCATTCGCTGGGTGAGGGTAATTGGCCTTCTTACTGCCAGAACCAAATCTCCAACTTGAAATGAACGAGGGCGAAACTTTTTATTGAATGCTTTAGACATGCGGGCTTGATAGCATTCAAGTTGTTGCTGAGCCTCTAATCTTTTCTCATCTAGTGTCTCCAACTCTTCAAGTCTAAGACGAGCATTATCCTTGGCGGTTAACCCTTCTTGCACAGCAATACGAAGCGAAGGTATTTGACTTTCAAGTGGAAGGATAGCTTCTACCCCATAAACCAAGGAGTACGGAGTGGCTTGAGTGGCAGTCCGATATGTCGTCCTATACGCCCATAAAGCTTCCCCGACCCTCTCGTGCCAATCTTTCTTTGACTTTGAGACAACTTTCTTCAAAAGATTGCACAAAGTTTTGTTAAACGCCTCTGCTAGGCCATTCGCAGCCGCATTATACATTGAGGAGTTGTGTTGCTTAAACCCAAACTGCACGCATAACTTATCCATCAACTTGTTGTAAAATGGTTTTCCATTATCGGTAATGATGTATCGAGGTATTCCGTACCTAAAGATAAGATGGGAACGAATAAACTCGACCACTGTTTCCTTCTTCACTTCCTTCAAAGGAACAACCCCCGCCCATTTGGAGAAGTAGTCAGTAGCTGCCAATATATAAGCGTGACCTCCGGACGACTTAGGAGAAATAGGTCCCACGACGTCAAGACCCCACGAATCAAATGGCCACGAGGCGACTGTAGGATGTAAGGGCTCCGGAGGTTGGTGTATGAAGTTCGCATGTAGTTGACAAGCCTCACATCTCCTTGCATAATCCAAGCAATCTTTGACCATCGTAGGCCAATAATAGCCCATTCTCTTAATTTGGAAGTGTAGCTTCGGACCGGACTGATGAGCACCACAAACCCCGGAATGTGCTTCCTTCATTGCTTCAGCCGTCTCTTCACCGTACAAACAACGCTGGTAATTGCCTTCAAAAGACCGACGATAAAGCGTATCCTTGTAAAGGATGAAACGAGGCGCCCTTTTTCTTACTCCCATCTTATGATGAACTTCACTGGGTAACTCTCCATTTCTCAAGTAATTGATCAATGGTATTCTCCAATCTTGATCATCATTGATTGAAATTGATGTAGCGTTAGCGTCTTCATGACTAACTTCAACGAACGATGGGACAATCCAACGATTACACACGGGAACACTTGTTGTCTCTCCTTCCGACAAGGCTAAAATGGTTGCTAGATTAGCTAGCGCATCGGCCATCCTATTATCTTTCCTCGGAATGTGGTTTAACATGACCTTTTCAAACTTCGCTATCAAGTCCGAAGCGTGTTGACAGAAAGGAATAAGGTCTTCATTCCTAACCTCATATACTTTCAAAAGTTGGTTGATAACCAATTTTGAGTCACCATAAACTTCAATCTCCGTAATATCCATTTCTAAAGCCATTTCAAGACCAATGATCAAAGCTTGATACTCGGCCACATTATTGGAGCAGAGCTCGCCCAGTACCACCGAATATGTCAAAACTTGTTTATCGGGTGACACAAAAACAACTCCTGCCCCCCGATCCATCAGACCGTGCGGCCCCGTCAAAGAACATTTCCCATGCCGGAAGAACTTCGGTAAAGAAAATATCTTCATCAGGAAGGTCATCGGATAACTCCCACTCTGTCGGAATAGGGTGGTCGGCTAGAAAATTAGCTAGTGCCTGCCCTTTAACAGATTTTTGAGGCACATACGTGATCTCGTATTGATTGAACATGATAGACCACTTTGCTAATCTTCCAGATAACACTGGCTTTGACATCACAAATTTGACTGGATCGGCACGTGAAATGAGTCGTATGGAGTACGCTTCAAAGTAATGCCTCAATTTCTTCATCGCATAGAATAGTCCCAAGCAAATTTTCTCCACCGGGGAGTATCTCAATTCATTCTCCGTTAGAGTTCTACTCAAGTAGTACAAGGCACACTCTTTGCCGTTTTCATTTTCTTGCGCCATAAGAGCACCGACGAACCTTTCTTAAGCTGCTATGTATAATATGAGTGGCTTTCCGGGTATAGGAGCTCCTAAGACGGGCGAATTTAATAAGTATTTCTTTATGTTTTCGAAAGCATTTTGACATCCTTCGTCCCATTCGAAAGGTGTGTCTTTCTTCATGAGATGATTGAATGGTTGACATCTTCCAGCGAGATTTGATATAAACCTTCTTATGAATGCGAGATTTCCTTGTAAAATTCTCAACCCTTTCAAATTTCTAGGCGCGGGCATCTTTTGAATGGCATCTATCTTAGAGGGGTCAATCTCTATACCACGATGACGGACTATAAAGCCAAGAAACTTGCCCGAAGAGACGCCGAAAGCACACTGAAGAGGATTCATCTTTAAGTTGTATTTCCTCAAGCGTTCGAATACAATCCGAAGGTCCTTTAAATGGTCTTCTCTCTTCTTTGTTTTGACGACGAGGTCATCGACATAACACTCCACTCTTTTGTGTAGCATGTCGTCAAAGATGTTTTGCATAGCACGCTGGTAGGTAGCGCCTGCATTCTTTAGTCCAAAGGGCATTACTTTGTAGCAGTAAATTCCCTTTGGCGTGCGAAATGCCGTGTATTCTTCATCTTCCGGAGCCATTCTAATTTGATTGTAGCCGGAAGAGCCATCCATAAAAGATAATGCTTCATGTCCGGTTGTCGCATCAACCATGAGCTCGATGATAGGTAAGGGGAAATCATCCTTAGGACAAGCCTTGTTTAAGTCCCGAAAATCAACACAAATGCGAATTTGACCATTCTTCTTCTTGACTGGTACAATGCTAGAGATCCAGGTTGGATAGTTGACCTCCCTGATGAATCCAGCATCTATGAGCTTGTTGACTTCGGTTTCAATTCGAGGAATTAACTCGGAACGGAGCACACGTTGCGATTGTTTCACGGGGCGCGCTCCATTTCTTATACCAAGGTGATGGATTGCGATTTTGGGATCAAGCCCGGGCATTTCTTTGTACGTCCACGCAAACACATCTTTGTATTCGCCTAATATCTCAAGATATTGTCCCTCCTCTTCAGGACTCAAAATTGCACTCACGAATATTGGGCGGGGGTCGTATAATGTGCCCAGGTTCAGTTCCTTTAACTCATCAACAGTAGCTTGCCCTCCATCATCCAGTTGTACAGGGGCCTCTTGTATTTCATCTTCCGAAACTTCCTCTTGATCATCAACAATACTTGCATAATGATTGCTGACGACAATTTCGACTTCGTCTTCGCTTCGATTTCCGTTCTCTTTAGAGGCATGATGGCTGGTAACACGTTGTTTCACCTTCACTGATCCATTCATGGCAATAACTAAGAGTGGTTGGTCCCTTTGACGTGATTGAAGCACTTGATGAGCTTGAGCTTCACCCGTTGATTCAAACACATCTATCTCATCCTCTCGCACTCTTTTTCCGTGTCGGTTTCTATTGTGATTTCCTAGTCGTGAGAACACTGAACGAATATCTGTAGAAATTCTATCGTGAACACGCGAGACATTATTAGAAGGACCAAGCCTTTCAAAGACCGAGGGTCGCGCAACATGAGTGTCAAGTCTTTCTTTCAAAGACAGAAGATTGGGTGGTAGGAGCCCCAATTCGATCAAAAGCAGAAATGCGACCGCTAGTTTTCTTTTGATTTCCAACCCCCTTTATGGTGATATGATGGACGTTGGCGCACTCTCCTTTCCTTGAAACGCGAATTCTAACCGGCTCGATGGGTGTGAATCCCAAACCGACTCTGGGTTGATTAACGCGAAAACCTTGTCTCCTTAACGTCCTTTGTGTTTCATTTAACCCATGAATCTTTTCGCCCGTCAACCCAGGTTTTAGTTCGCCTAGCCGAGATGGATTAGAGAAGTTGTAACCAGACTTAGCTAATAAATTATATGATCTTGGATCATACGCCTCCCTAGGCCATTGAGACTGGGGTACAACATCATGCGTCTGCTTACGCGCCAATGGACCTAAGTCGATAATAGGCATGATTAAACCTTCCCTAATGAGGTGGCAATGGCTTGGCTCTTGCTCCTTCGGTCGTTCTTGTCCATCCTCTAACAATGTGGTGCACTCAATGAACAAAATTTGGCTTCCTCTGCGTGATTGAGGAGCGCAACGAAACACTGGCAAATTCAGTTTCCTCACAGCCCCGTCATTTTTGCTCATCGGAGCTTCAACTGAAGTGGCCACCTTCTCGTCCTTTGTGCAACCGATCTTCGTCGGTACGAGTTCCATATGACTTCCATTAATAGGGTGACATACCGGTGCCTTTGAAATCACCGTTTCGCATTTCAGGTTTGACTCTAGATACAATTTGGCATCCGCAAAGTGTGATCCTGCCTCAGTAAAGGGCTTCGCATTAGCATCGACCTTCATCATTTCTCCATTCCTCAGGTATTTGAAGCATTGATGAAGGGTAGATGGGACAATTCCATTTTCGTGAAGCCATGGCCTTCCTAATAACAAGTGATAAGAGGTTCTTGCATCAATCACATGGAATAGTGTACTTGCCGCTAGCTCTTCAATTGTGAGGTCTAAACGAACCATCCCAATAGCTCTTTGGCCTTCTTGGTTAAATCCTTGAATAGTAAGGCGACTGCGAGACAAATCTTCGGTAGCAATCCCCAACTGTCTCATGGTGGATTTTGGTAAGATATTGACAGCTGACCCTCCATCTACGAGTATACGGTTAATTTTTTGCCCGTGTATGAACCCCGAAACAAAGAGCGGACGATTGTGAGGTTTAGATCCCAACAACAAGTCATCGTCCGTGAAAGTCATAGCAGCACAACAAGGAATATAATGTTGATGGTCTCTCTCATCCGAATTAACGTATGCTCTTTCAACTTTTTGCATGAAAAACTCTTTCGGAAAGAACTCTTTCAAAGTCACGTGCTTGTGAACCGAACTTCCGTAAGATTTTCTTGAAGCATCATCACTCACCTTTGAGCCTTTGTTCGATTTGGCATGGTGAATGTATTTTATTGGCTGTGGGTTTCGTGATGGCATTACATGAAGTTTGTCAACACGTCCCCTCTGTCTCTGCCGACGTGTCACTAGAATCCATTCTCCCTCATCCTCAATAGCAGAGATGGGGTTTTCCTCGTGTATGACTTTCTCCTCGTGAAATAAAGCCCTTATCAATTGTGGTTCCAAACTCCCAAATTGAAATGCAGACACTTTCTTCGTAGGTGCAGGCGGGCATTTTTGGGTGTTCGATGCGGGGCATGTGTCGCTTGAGAGTGAAGTGACACTTGTAACATTCGAGTAGGCAACATCTTCAGTATCTAGTATTATTTTGCCATCTCTCGCGAGTCTCATGATCTTCTCTTTGACCACGAAGCATTTTCCTATGGGATGGCCAACAACTCGATGGTACTTGCAATACTTTGGGTCATCCATCATTCCTACTTCTTCGGGCCGTTTTGGTTCCGGCAAGTCAATTAATTTCCTTGCCAACAGCTCATCAAAGATATGGGAGACGTCCGATTCCGGAAAAGGGTATTCTTTCTCTTGCATTTCCTTCAACGTGGGTCGACGTCTATCGTTTGATATTCGATGTTCACCGGTTTTGTCATCTTCGTTCTTCGAAGGAATTTTCAAACCCACTGCTTTTATGGCCATTGACTCCTTGGTAGAAGTTTTAGAGAATTTTTCGTTTCTCTTAAAATCCTTTCTTTCCCCTTTTTGACCATCTAGCGGGAGTGCACTCTTATGGTTTGCGATACTCAACTCCATATCATGGGCACGCGTAGCCAATTCTTCAAAATTTCGAGGCTTAATCGCCTGTAAGATGTAGAGAAGCCCCCAATGCATCCCTTGGATACACATCTCAATCGCCGACACTTCCGATAACTTATCCTTGCAATTTAGGCTTAGTGCACGCCAACGGTTGATGTAATCCACAACCGGTTCATCTTTCCACTGCTTCGCATTGGTAAGCTCGATCATACTCACAGTACGACGCGTGCTGTAGAAGCGATTCAAGAATTCATGTTCCATCTCTTCCCAACTGTTGATGGACTCGGGTTTCAAATCGACATACCAATCGAAAGCATTTCCCTTGAGTGATCTTACGAATTGTTTCACCAAGAGATCGCCGTTAGTCCCCGCATTGTTGCAAGTTTCGATAAAATGAGCAATATGTTGCTTGGGGTTCCCCTTTCCGTCGAATTGTTGAAGTTTTGGGGGTTGGTACCCCGCTGGCATCCTCAATGCATCGATCCGCTTAGTGTACGGCTTTGAGTACATGGGTGAGACTTGAGATGGTCCGCCATATTGCGCTTTGATAGTATTGGCAATCATCTCTTGCAATTGTTGAACAGATAGCGTGGCAACAGACATCGAAGAATGAGTGGCACCTTGCACGAAGTCCGGCTTGGGATGTGCTTCTTCAACTTGCTTTGCCTTCTCGTCACGAAGCGGGTAGGATTCGTGCTTCGGGCTAAACTCCCCAACCTCTGACTGTTCCAACTTATCCATTAATTGAGCGATTTTCATGTCTTTGTCTTCGACTATTTTTTGAAGATTGGCTACTGCTTGGGCCAAGTGCGCCAATTGCTCATCCACGGAAGTCGCATCAACCACCATAACCGGCAATGTGGTGAAGGCTTGAGATTTGGAGTCGATCTCTTCCGAGCCTGAGGAGCTTGAGCCGTTTGTCGTAGTTGTATTCTCGATCTTGCCCTCGGTGGATGATAAACCAACAACGGTGGCAATCTCGGTAGCCTTTTGGATCAAAGAGTTTTGGTTCTTCTTTGGAGCCATTGGATGGTAGAACACGTGGATATGCGCTTCGATGTAGGAGAGGAGATGAGAGGCAAACTTGTCCCACCGGGCGTGCCAATTTGTTAACCTCAAATTTAAATGTCTGCAAAATAAATTACAAGACAAGAAAAAATAGGAACAAATAATTATATTTTAATCAAAACGAAAATGGGTTACAATCTTTGTTGATTCCTCTGATTCTTCTCCTAGATATAATCCAAGGGCCGAAGCTTGTTCTTGAATTGAGAGCTTGATTCCACCGTTGATTTGCGGAAGTAGATATGAATATCTAGAAATCGATTTGGGGATTTCTAGGTCTTGTGGATTTGGTGCCTTGATGAAGATGTAGAACCTCCGCGGTTGTTGTTCTTCGTCGTGGCAAGAGCTCGAGACTTGAGAGCTTTTGAGTGCTTGATGTACGCCTTGCTTGATGCTTGTACATGCTTGAGACCTACTTTTATAGACTCGGTTTTAGGGTTTCTTGACTTGAAACTTGGACCGGTGGGCTTGACCACTTGCCACTTCACGTGGGCTAGATTTTATAAGCCCAAATAGCTAACCCAAATGAATAAGAATTTAGTACTTATTTCGAGTTAACTCACATCGCACATTTGCGGGGCCCAAATTTAGTATGGACTTCGATATAAAGCCCAAACTCTTCACGGGCTTTGACTTGAGATTCAAATTAACAACCGATTTATTTGGATTATTAATTTGTAATTTAATCTCAAAAAATGGATATAAGCCCAAATTTATTATGGACTTTTAATCGAGATCCAAATTAATAACCAATTTATTTGGGCTATTAATTCGTAATTTAATCTCAATTTTGATGTCAACACTTCAATTATACTGCTCCGGAAAGAAATT